TTTATATGATTACACCATGGTTATTATAGATGTTTTAACTCTTTTTAACTCCACAATCTGCACTTTTCTGCCACCTACTGTGAACACACGGGGCGGCTGCAGCTCAGGAGGTGGAGGAGGTCATCTGCTAATCAGAAGGTCGGTCGTTCCATCCCCGGCCTGCATGCCAAATATGCTTTGGCACTAACCCAGAGTTGTGTGCGAATGTGTGTGAGTGTTAGATAAAAGGCACTAATGTAGAAAAAGTGCTTGTGTGAGTGGGTGAAAACTGCATGCTGCATGAAGCGCTCGATCCCAGCTTTCACTTTGTCCACCGTGCACGTCACAGGCTCAGTGGTTCAGCTTCTCCTGTTTGCTTTTCCAAGCATTATGGGATAGCAGCTCCATTTTCTCCAGTGATTATTCATGTTATTTTTGTCAGGCAAGAAAGAGTGCTATATCTCTCTGTCTACCTTCAAACAGTCCAATGCAATCAAACATTACATCATCAGTTCCTCCTCACACATGCACCATGATATTTGTTCATACTGAGTTTGAGGAAGACGTCTACTTAAACCAACCCACCTCCAGTCTGTTGACCTGAGTGCCTAGTGTCGTCTTCGCCCTGAAGTGAGGGTCCCGATGCAGGGCTGTATAACTTCTGCCCTCCCCCCAAACTCAGGTGGCTCTCCCACCCCGAGCGGATCACCTCTTTGTCAGCGGCGCTCCACAGCAGGGAGTCCGGGTGCTTCTGTCTGATGTGCCTCTTGATAGTGCTGAGCTTCAGAGTGGCCAACGAACTACCGCACACCATGCAGATCATGCCGTGCCTCTGGGGGTCAAAGTCCATCAGGTACTCGCTGCGCCAGTACTCGTGGTAGTACCGGCGGTGGTCTCGGCCTGGGATCCGGCTCAGGCCTGGACGCGAGGCTCTCTGCACCCTGGGTTTGGCTCCAGAGGGCCCCGGGGCCAGGGAGAGGAGGAGGGGGTGATCTGGGCTCTCTGTGATGCTCCAGTAGCTGGTGCTTGGTGACCGGACAGGCGTGACCACACCGCTCTCTGATTCCACCTCTCCATGGCCATTGGCAAGACCGTCTTCTTCAGACAAGAACAAGACAGAGGACAGATCAGAGCAGCAGGTTTCAAACTGAAGCAGAGTCTTCATGTTGCTAAAGCAGAGATCTCACACTTAAGCTGTGGGCCACTGTCATCTCATGTGAGGCCACAAAACAAGAAAACACCCACAAATATTTCAAAAAATGTCGTGTTTTGTTTGTTAAAATGTAAAATATTGTATAACAAGACAAAACTTGACATAAACGCAATTTTGTTCGTATTTAACAAAATCAAAGTGACACATCAGCCAATCCGACATGCTCTCTGCTCATGTCGCCTTCATATTAAATCAGTTTTCTTTTTAAACAACGTATTTTAACATTGCACTCAACAACAAACAAATCCTCCCTAACAAAAAAGTCACTTCGGGGGCCAAATTGCATTCGATTTCTTCACGTCCATGTAGCCGCAAGTGGCTAACGCGTGAAAAATACAGTTCAGTTTACAGACGAGCATCATCTGTAAAAGCAGAAGTGTTTGGCAGGCTGCTGATTCAGGTGTGTGTTGACACAATGCTACAATCATAAAGAACATGGTGCTATTGGGTTTGTAAAGCTGCATCTGAACAAACCAAGACTTCTGAAATAATGTTGATGGTGGGACCTTAAGTTAGCTGTGCCTACACATCTCAATACACTGAAACAATGATGTAAGCAATAGTGGGGCGATGTCATCTTGTTCTCAAGCTTTCCTGAAGACCTGACCTCTGACCTTAAGACTCGAAGATTCTCTTTTCGAACTCGTCTGAGATTTTTCGCAGACACAGCCATGGTATCAATTTGAAGCTCCCACACCACTTTGTTCTTGAGTTACTGCACGCACAAACTTGGGTGTCTACATGGCCCGCCTGCCCGTCAAATTGTTGAAGCTGCTGCTAAATTTAATTTCAATTTTGATTTATAGTCAAAATTAAATTGAGGAGCACACTTCTCTATTCCTCAAGTCAATTCATGTAGCACCAACTCACAACACCAGCCGTCTCAGTGCTCAGGCATCGTCCTCTCATTCTCCAAGATTGTGTTAAATCATCTGGTCAAAAATCTTCTTTTAGACTTCTTCACCTCCCACCATTCAATCCTTGGCTCTACGTTCACTGACTTCCTCTTCTTCATTTTTTCCCTTGCATTGCCTTTTAATGTGTTGTTTTAAAATGTGCTATATAAATAAATAAACCTTAAAGTCATCCTATAGACTAGCACATGATGCTGCCTAGTTACGTTCTCCCATAGACTTTGCAGTCTCCTATCTCTTTCAGACTGCACACTCAATAATAATCACACGTCCAACAAATAATCAGTAGTCTGACTCCATGCATTGCACTGGCTCACTCAAAAACAAATCCCTGTAGCTGACAGAGACCAATAAAAACAATATACACCTGAACATCAGCAGGCAAAACAATCTAGTTTCCAGTTATATGAAGTTATTAAGGTAGAGGCTGTCCACGCAGGTCTGTTTCTATCTCACTGCGGATGGGTAACATTTAAATAGTGTGTTTAAATGATACCAATCTTTACAAAAACCCAAACGATCACATGAGCAGCAGAGATATCATGTGAGTGAACTGTTAGGTCTAACATTGGTAGGCATCTTTCAGGCTAGAAACGCTAGCCTTTCAGTTCCTCACAGCTTGAGCTTTAAACTTCCAGAGAAAGTCACGCTGCTGTCATTTGGTAATCAAGCACAACTTGCTTACGGACATTTCTGCGGTCAGCTCGCACCTCACGTGAAAGGATAACCCTGCCTTTTTTATCCGATCAGCGTTTATTCCGCTCGATGACAGGTCTGAGGCGGCCTGTACCTCCGCTGTCCACTAGGTGTCAGCAGTGTGCGCTTCGCCTGGCTGCCTGCGTGCAGTTGAGCCTTTGTTTATAGGAGCCACAGAGACGGAGGGGCCATGCTGCTCCATGGCTTTGTCCCTGACACGGATTAACTGGCTGCCTGATAATGGCTGTATATCTGACAGCCACGCAGACCCACTTAGCGTTGGAACAAAAACAAGAAAATTAACACTAGATGTGTTTTTTTGCTCTTTACCTACTAACTCGCTGTCCTCCTGCGTGGTTTCCTCCTGCCCGCTTGTCATTAATGAGAGCAGCTCCGGCTGATAGGCACAGCGGAGCTTCACGGGCTCCCCCTGCCCCGCTCCTTTCTCTTCCATCACTGGATCGCTGCTCTCGCTTCAGTCGTGGTTGGCGGTGCTTCGTTCAGTGGGTCGTGTCGCCGTCGTGGGGCATGTCACCCTCACAACAACAACACGTTCTCGCCGCTCCGCAGCGCTCGACACGCATCTGCCAGGCGCTCTATAACGAGCCCACCGCCGAGGAGCCCGTGCTCTCCGCGGTCCCCCCACGCGCCCCGCACGGGAGCCAAGTTAACTTTTCATGCAAGCACACAATCATAAATCCACCGGCGAAAAGGGCCGCTGCTCCGCGGTGCTCGGTGGAGGCGCCTCGGCTCAGGCCTCTACTCATGAATTTTTAGGCTCTTGCTTGTCTTCAGGGTGGGGAGCCGGACTAGGGGCCCCTGGGGCTCCTTAAGGGGCTCCTGGGTAAATTTAAAGAGACAGTAGCAGCTACGACGATGCACACCCACCCCGGGGGGGCAGAGGGAGCAGCAGGCGCTAATACCGGTAAGCTGCTGCTGCTGCTGTCCCACAGCCGCGACATGCAGGCAGAGCGTCGGTTAACCACGAGGCGGTGAGTCGGGGCCCCTCAGCAGCGCCTGCTTTGTACCGGGGCAGCACGCGCTGTTTTCATGTGTCATACACATCTGTGCAGATGTTCAGCGGCGCACGTGTTCATGACTTCCTTCTCGATTAGTAAACTTGTCTGAGTTGACATAGTCCGACTGAAACCTCTGATACACTAACTTCGATGGCCTCAGCTGTAAACAGTCTTAAACTCATGTTATTAAAATGAAAAATGTTTCAGCTGCTGACACCTTTGGATCACAAAGATTTACACACGTTTAATTCATGTATTCAGTCCCTAGCTATAGTCTTGCTGTGACGTCAGTGTAGTTTTTTCAAACCGGATCCACGTTAAAGGAACCGGGCCGTGGCCCCCAGCGCCCTAACGTTGTTTGTCCGTCAGCCCCGCCCTCGTGCTCATTTGGTCGTTGTGTAGAAAAGTGGATCCCTGCTTGAAGCGTGTGCACATGAATTCAGGTCATGTGTAGAAAAAGACAATAAATCAATGGACCTTTGTGCAGCTATTCCAGTAGGGAACAGCTGTGCGGGGCCTCCGTGTCCCTTTGGAAGAGCCTCCACAGACAGACAGACAGACAGACAGACAGGGGGACTCGTGACAGGTTTGTAAAATCCTTTTAATGCGACCCAGTGAATGGATGTGGCGTGGAAAGGAGGGGGCGTTGCACACTACTGTCTCTATGTACACAGACACACACACACACACAGCGAGCATCCCACATCCTGGTACTTTTCAGCGTTGTCAAGGCAGCCTGAGCACGACTGGCGGAAAGTAGCTGCAGTGTCCTGGCAGAATATCTGTGCAAAACCGCCCCCAAAGTGTCCCGGAAAGTTAAGTGCCGCTAAAAGGTAACGGACGTGCATGTTTTCTGTCGCTCGTGCTTCCGGGCGCGCGGCTTTGCGGCTCGAATCTGCGCCTGTCCTCGCGGCTTTCACGCGCAGACAGGCGCCAGTCCGCGAGGACCAGAGCAGGAAAATGTTGTCCATTGTGCCGCTGAGAGACACAACGATCCAGGCACCATTTCCGCTCTAGTGCGACCGCTTTTCCACGGCCGCTCTGCGTGTTTTGCTGTAGGTTGTTCGGCTGAGTGGCCTGGTGGCGTTTGACTGAAACACACTGAGAATAAAGAAAAATGGCAGATATACTTTGTGATAGAGAGAGACAGCTTTAAAGGGACAGCGACACGCTGTTTTCTTCCTGCTTTCTGGAGCCGAAGCACTCCCACACACGACGACAATTTCATTTATTTCATAGTTATCGCCTGAAATCTTACACTGAAACTCGCGTTTCACGCGGGAATCTGCACAGATGTTGTGACAGATGAGGTGGGCGTCGTGCACGAATTTATTGTCTCCTGACTGGTGCACGAAATCCTGCTGGAGTGAGTGCTACAGATCTTAGAGTACGTCAGTGCTCCACTGAGACCACCTTACTCCGTGTACTCTGTGTACTTTCATCATGAGGCACACACATGTGAGTCAAACAGATCAAATGACTTTGGTTGAACTTATTTGGTGGAAATAAAAAAACGTGTAAATTGTTACATTTTTGTAAATAGCTATTTGACTCTTCAGTCCTCGCTAATATCATCTTTACTTTGTGCAATTGAAGGGAATTATTGTGTTAATGTTGTTGTGCTTGATGTTGCATTACTGATCAGTGAGCATGTTGTAATTCCCATGGCTCCAATCAGAGATCCTGAAGCGCAGGATTTCAGTGTGCAGCACTATGGCCACTGCACCTGCCTGCTTATACACTCTTTAAATCTGCAATTGCAATCCTCAGTTTGAAATTTAGAGCAACAGTAGGTGCTACACATTGTGTTGATGCATGCTCGATCATCCAGGTAAGGAAATCCCAAGAAGGTCTGTTCATCGGAAACGTTTCGTCACTCATCCAAGTGACTTCAACTTGTGTTAGTTTTGCTGTTGCTTAATGTTTATTACAAAGTAGTACTTAGTCTTTAGCTTATTTTCATCGCATTTTAATGCAAAGATTGTTTTCTGTTCCTCAGGATATCTGCACTCCAATGTGATGTCGGAGAGCATAAGAGGTGCTCAGAAACACGATGATGCTGATGATGACAGTTAGGATCCTGGACTGAGGGGCTACCAAGGCCAATCACTGCTGTTGGATGAGAACCGATGGGCTGTCTAACCTGGCAACAGCATGCCGACTGCAAAAGGTAAAGGTGGCTCGACGTCCCACCGTTACCGGCCGGCCTCGGAGTACGATGATGCCACGCTCGCCCTAAAGCGAGAGTACTGGAGAAACAAGAAGCGAGAGCAGCGGGCCCGTCTGTCAGAGGAGAGGGAAAGGCACAAACACAGCAGCAGCAGCCAGGGAGGAAAGCAGCTAAATGCCCCTGCGGATGAGGCTTCCACTCTGGCCCAGTCATCAGGTGCTTTGTCACCTCCTCTGCAGAGTAATGATAATTCATACAATTCTGTGTCAAAGCACGGAAATGCTCTGGGGGAGGGGTCACGTGAAACCACTGACAGCCAAAAGGAGAAGTGGCTCCAGACAGTAAAGCTCAACAAGCGTCTGCCTCAGTTGCCAGCGTCCTGTTCTATCTCTGCCAAATCAGCCAGCGGCAACGCAGCCGCAGGTAAACGTCAGACAGCAACCGTTTCCTCACCCGTGTCCAGTGGGACTCAGCTGAACACCGTATCCTCAGTGCCTCCAGTCAGAGTGACCAGAATAACCAATGGCAGCTCCAGTAAAACAGCACCTCAGCCATGTGTGTCTATGCAGGGTGCGTCAGTCCCCAGAAACCAACATAAGGCACAGGTTGTATTACCCACTCAGCCCAAAGTCTTACCCACGGGTCTCGTTCTCGTGTCCTCTCCGTGCGGCCCCACTTCCACTAAAGCAGAGAGCAAAACAGCCATCTCAACACCTCAGAGTGGAACAAAGCGTGCCTTGGTCACCACACAGAGGGCTAAAGGTGTCGGTGATGCACGAGCTTCTCTGGAGTCCGACGAGGAAAGAGCGGCCAAGCGTCGGGAACAGTGGCGGATCAAAAAGCGAGAGCAGCGAGCGAAGCTTGCAGCTAGGTTAGCTAAAGCCAGAGAGAGGACACAGGGTGCAGAGATGACGTTTCAGAGGCTAACGGCACCAAAAACCAGACACGTGGGAAGCATAGTTCTTCCATCAGAGTCACTTTTGAGAGGAGCAAGCCAGAAGCAGTGTCATACACGGGTCAAAACACCATTTACATCAGCCAAAAGTGAAAACAATAAGCTGCAAAGTGGGACAGCAACTGTAGTTGTGACTGCTCTGCAAACATCTGATGTTCCATCTGTGAAAAAACCAGTAGACTCTCAGGGAAAGGTTCCAAGTTATCATCTTGGCGGTGTTACCCGGGGTATCGCGAGATATAAAACGCCTAGACAAAGGTTCATCGAAGCACAGAGAAACTTAATGAACCATAGAAGTCTACGGTGTAAATCCCCAATGCTGCCCTCAGCTTTTGGTAGCAGAAGCATGCCCAAAATCAACCCTGACGACACGCCCGAGCAGATAATAGCTAAACGGAGAGAGTACTGGCGGCTCAAAAAGCGCGAGCAGCGAGCTAAGCTGTCCATGGAGGTAAAGGTTCGGTTGAAAGAGAGAGATTCTTTGATGAGGAGGGTGAAACGTTACCAGAAGATCCTCGAGGAGATGAGGAAGACTCGAGTGCTGGCGCAGTCAACCGGAAGTGCCCTCGCGCACAGCCCGGAGACCATCGGAGGATTCATCAAAGAGGACGGCACGCTGACTGCTAACATCCCTCACAGTTCTGCAGATCACAGCGTAGCAGAAGACAAAAGCCAAGCAGAGCTTTGTGTAGTTTCTACAAACACTCCTTTGGCACAACAACAGTGTGAGCCTGACGCTAAACTGAGAAGCGTTGCTCCCATCAGGATACACCCGGCTCCCCCTCCTCTTTGCTTAGCTCAGGTGAAAGTCTCTGCTCCTGGACAGCTCGCCAACAAACTGCCGCGACTGCTCGCAGTTAGACCGCAGGCTCACCTCAAAAGCACAACCGTTCCTAATTTGCACTCGTCAGCTATCCAAACTGTGGGCCAGCTCACACTTACTCATCCACAGAGCCCTCAAAATTCAGCAGGTTCAAACGTTAGCAGCTGTGTTATGAAAATGACCATCTCGAGCAGAGCGCCGTCGCTGTCAGCCTTGTTTCTGGACGCGGGGCTGACGGAGGAGGAGAGGATGGCAAAGAAGAGGGAGTATTGGAGGATAAAGAAGCGTGAGCAGAGAGCAGCTCGCGCTGTCCGATTGAGACAGGGTGTTTTACATGCTCGGGCCGGTGCAGCCTTACACAGGAGGAAGCCTCAGAAGCAGGGGCCGCTGATCACTGTGCCTCAGAGTAGAAATCTCGCCGACACTACAGCAAACGCACCTCCTCTTTCCAACAGCAGCGTGCTCTTTCTGCCTCGTGCAAACGAAATGAAACAGGAGAGTGACTCCATGCCAGCAGCTGACCTAAATTCTCCACCAGAACAAGCCATCTGTCCAGATATCAAACCCCCTACTTCCCCACCTCCAGCACCCCAGCTGGAGTCTGACCCATGTCTGAGCGCAGACAGCCAAACTGCCACTCTGCTAGCTGTGGCCTCCATGAAGAAGCTCCTGGAAGAATCTCTTAGCACGGTGACAGAATGTAAAAGCGAGCAGAACTCTATTAAAATGGAGACAATAGAAGAGGTTTCACAGCAAGACATGAAGCCAAATTTATCTCAGCTGTCCTTTGAAAGGGATGACACGGCTCCGATTGCTGCTGACCTCACTTTGCAGATAAAAAGCTGGGAGCTCGACAGCAAGGTCTCTGCAAAGGCCAGTTTACAAAGCCCTCAACTCAAGAACCCATCGCAGGTGAGTGAGACAGTTCCACCTCTTCCTGCTTCCAGTGATGTAGGTGTGCATCACACCAGCGAGCACTCGTCCCAGACCCCTTTGAACTACATAGTAAACACCTCCATGGAAGCACCACGCAGAACCCAGAGACTTTGCGCTAAAAAAGCCGGCTATAAAACCTGCTGCTCTCCAGAGCCACCGAAGCTGCATCACATCACAGCCGTGACGCTGGATGACCTGCAACCACAGCAGCAGGAACAGCATCAGGCGCAAGAGCAGAACATCTGCCCCGAATCGAAGCGGAGGTACAACAGCGTGGTGACGGAGCAGAGCGGCTTGACCAGCTTGCAGAGGAAGAGGGAGTACTGGAAGCTGATGAAGAGGCAGCAGAGGGCCAAGTTAAAGGCCAGGCAGAGAGACGGCGAGGGGGAGTGCAGCAGCGGGCTCTTCCCCAGAAGCATTCAGGTAACACGAGGAGCACTCGAGCTCTTTTTCTGCAAGAGGTGAAGTTTCAGCGCTTTGGTGTGTAGCTAATAGCTAATATTGATCATATTTGATAGTATGTTGTCAGCTGTGCATCATCATCATCATCAGATTCATCTTCACATGTGACTGTTTTTGAAAAATGAGTGCTAGCTCTGACCCACGTAGCATTTCAGTCTTTTGAAGCCTCGTGTTGTGTTCAGGATCTGAGCGTGGCAGAAATTCAACACTCAAAGTAAAGAAGACTGCGTTTGATTTTCTTCCTCGCGCCTTTTATCTGCATATAGAGTTCAATTTGATGATTGCAAAGGTGACAAGCTTGACTGAGGCCACTGAAATCTGCCGCGTGCTACCAGATGAACCATTTCCGACTAGTGCAGCCTAACTTTGTATTTAGCTCGTGCAATGGGCAGAAAACCCAAGCATCACTTAAATGAATGAAAGCTGTTGAGTATTTAGCAGCATGTGCACATAGAGTCTATGTGAAAGAGGGGCCCTCCATGTAAAGAGTGCATTTCTTCACATACCTAAATTTCTCTATGTATATAAAAGTGGTTTCTGCAGTCGACTCAGTCCAGCTGAAGCTTGAATCGCTGCGACAGAAAATTCTCAGGCATATGGTATTTGAACGGGAAAAACAAAGTGGAGTTCATCTGAAGGGCGCCCATTAAAGCTAGGAGCAAACTCTGCCTCAGTTTCTGAAAAGCCGTTTGTTCATGTCATATTTTCTTCTTTCAGACCCCGGGGCTCGTTATTATCAACAGTCTTAAAGGGGCGAGTCCTCCAGCAAAACGAGCCCTCCAGCCCAAACCGCCTGTCTCTCCTCTGGACTCGGTGACCAGCATCCCTACCGTTCTGGTTGTTAGCCAAACAACATCTAATGCTCAACAGTCAGCGTGCACGCTCCAGGTCAGACTGCCTATCACCAGCAATGAGTACAGCAGCGTCAATCTTGGGCCTTCACATGCTGTATCCAGCTGTGCAGGAGTTTCTGAATCTCTACAGCTTTCACGAGCATCTAGAAGCACTGATGTAGACTCAGCTCCCGCCCTCCCCGCTGTGAAGCCACCAGACAAACCGCTGTCCAGTACTGACATGCACCTCGTTGAACCCCTTGGTCAAAGTCCGTTAAAAATCCCCTCTGCTCACCTTCAGAGTCCCCCACACAAGAAACAATCCTCCACCCAGCTGGCACCGGTGAGCACCATGGTTCCTCCAAAGCCCATCCCGGGGGAAAGTGAGCAGGACTTTCTGAGGAGGAAGCGGGAGTACTGGAGGATAAAAAAGAAGGAGCAGAGAGCCAGGAAGGCAGTTCGGGAGAAGGGAATCACCCAAAGCTTCAACAGCTGGAAGACTAGGCTGCCTCCCCGGGGTCTACAGACAGAGGTGAGAGTTGCACAGTTACATAAACAGCTTGTTTTTTTTTATTATGATTATTGTATTCATATTACATACTACTGACATTTATATTATACTTAATAGGCTCAAGGTTTAGCTGGCATTTCTGGTTTTCTTCTTATTTATCTGGAAGGACCTTCTTGGTTAGGGTGTGCTAGTTCTCCTCTTACACTGCTTGATTAACTCGAGGGGTTCCACAAGGTTCAATCCTGGGTCCACTGATGTTTTCCTTTTATCATTCTGGCTTTTTTTTGGCATTTCTTATCCTTTATATGCCGTCTTTTAAGCCTCACCAGCCAAATAGGCTGCCCACCCTGGTTGGCTGTGACTGAGGCCATGATTACAGCTCCGCTTGAATTACATTTAACATTCAGTCACGTGACTGATTTTACGACCAGCGTTCGTAATCTCGGTGAAGTATTTGATTCCTCGCTGAACTTTGACTCACATATAAAATGTACCTCACGTTCCTTTTACTTTCATTTAAGGAACATTTCTAAAATGCGAGCCTCGTTCTTTGAACTACAGCAAATTGTTCTCGCGTTTGTGTCATTGCACATGTTGTGATGCCCTTTTACCAGTTTAGAAAAATCATCTTTGTCATACCTCCAAACAATTACAAACTGCTGCAGTCAGACTCGTAACAGCCTCGATAACAAAACGACAGAGAACGTTCAAATTGATATGATAGGTGTGTCTGCTAAAAACCTTCGATGAGTTCAAATCTCATGACCTCAACCTCACCATCGGACATCAGAGGTCAAGTTTTCTGAAAATCTTCTGAAGTCACATTGGATTTTGAAATTCATATCATAGTTGTATCTACCAGGAGAGTGAGAGGTACCACTGTCCACCACCAGTATCTTTCTCTTTACATTGGTTCCCAGTAGATTTTAAAATTCTCACACTTATAATTAATTAATTTAAAAATTGAAGAGGGTCCTTTCAGCAACATCAAGTATGTTCCCCACATAAATAAGGGTTAAACAAATCGGACACTAACGCAGGTTTTCTATCACAAGCCTGATACCATCATTTCCAGGACTGATCTCTCAGTGACACAGAAACAGAGTACTTTAGTAGCGGTCTCCAACCTTTTTTGCGCCACGGACCGGTTTATGCCCGACAATATTTTCACAGACCGGCCTTTAAGGTATAAATACAACAAAATAAAACTAGTACCGGTACCGAAAAAAAGAAGATTTATTCATAACACACGTGAAAAGACCCAGGAAAACAGAGTTAACGATAAAAACGATAACAAAATAACGCTGAAAACCGATAAAAACCCTGAAAACTATACATTTCACACCTGAGCCTCAACTCTCGCGGCCCGGTACCAAACGACTCACGGACCGGTACCGGTCCGAGGCCCGGGGGTTGGGGACCGCTGCTTTAGTACTCCAGTAGAAAATGAGCAGATAACTAAATGGTGCACTCGTGCCCCCGTCCTTTGTTTGTAAGTAAATCAGAGGACCTAAAAGACACAAAAGCACCAGAAAGAAACGACAAAAATACACAAAATAATGTCAAAGTGACAAAACTACAGGAACTCTTAAGCATCTCTGCAGTCTGAGTTGTGTTTGGTTCACCTTGTTTCAGGGAGCTCATGAAAGCACGTAAAAACACTGCACGTGGCCTGTGCTTTAGTTTGTCACTCTTTGTCTAATATCTTTAGGCACCTGGTCAGTGGGTGAACTCTTCTGAGGAGTCAGAACATCTAATGAGGTGAGAGATTTTTTTTTTGCTCGCTTTCTTTTGATGTCAGCATCATCAGCATTCAGGATAACAAAAATCTCCCTTCACAGCTCTTCAGTGGACTCGGCACCCTTCACATACTCTGATTACACAGCCCCAATCGAAGGTAAAGTGTGTCCCTTTGAACTTGAACGAATGCACATAAAATAGTGAACGTAACCAAAAACAAACTCTGCCTTCTCAGATGAGTCAGAGCTGCTGTTTGCTGAAAGTGAGGAGGATTCTGTTTCCGATGCTGTGTGGAGGAGCCGCTACCTCATGGACTATGACCCACTCAACCAGCTGCTGGTGTGCATGGTGTGTGGGGAACTGCAATATTCCCACAGCCTAGAGGGAGTGAAGGCCCACATTGACGAGGCCCACCCGCACACCCTAACCTTGGAGCCCGGCGAGAAAGAGCAAATACGGGAGGCCTGGGATGAGCAGGTGTCCCGGCGGGAACGCTTCTTCAGCAGCCAGCTGCAGCAGCACAGCAGACCTGTGGCAGGTACGAGCTCGGATCACGCAGTTAAGTCACCTGACTTTGCAACACAGCAGAGTTAAAAGTAGCTGCAGGAGAGCATCTGTTAGCCTCATCTGTACGACTGATCCCCAATGAGGTTTATCCTTTAATCG